GTGTGTGTGTGTGTGTGTGTGTGTGTGTGTGTGTGTGTGTGTGTTTATATTAAGACCATTTTTTGTAGTGCCCAAATTGGTTTGTGGTTTCTTCACAGGTCCAGGCTGGAAACGAGACATATCCACTGTTTTTTTTATCATCATCTGATCATTTAACTGTTATTGTTCTTTTCTAATACATGTGACCTAAAAATCTGATGCTGTTCATCCATCTAATTTGAGGCACCTTGATTGAAATTTTTTTGTAGTTTTGTTTTATATATTATAGCTACTGATCTAAGTATCAAGTCTGACATCTGAGCCCATCGTGCGTTATGGCTTGTGAAAATGCTGACACATCTCGCCTGATAGTAATTTACTGGTAAGAAAAAGCAGAGAAAGGCCAGTTGGTTGTACATCTTACAATTTTTTGACATTCCACCAATCGTGAGACTGAATTATCGAGGTCGTCTCACTTTCTAAGAAGGTCAAAAAGCTCTTTGTTGATTTCTGTGCATCAAACCTCGACTGTCATTTTTTTAAACATGAGGTAGAGACATGCATTTTGTCAAATGAACACTATATCTGCATACCTCCTTTTGTTTTTACTATACAAGAGTTTCAACTAAGTTCACTGAGCATCCACATATCTGCAAACTCTGCACACATAATGTTGTGATAATGAAAAAGGCCTCATAGGACAATTTTGGATATTTGAAAGATGTTAGCTATAAATGTTAATCCTTTGTCCTATAATGTTACTACTCTACAGATCTAACCTTTTTCATTGACAACTAAACCTAATATTTAATAGTTTATCTAGTTTAACTACGTCAAGAAATAAAGTAGTTTTAAATAAGGAAAGTAAAGGAAGGGAAGGGGAAGGAAGGGAAAGAGAGTCAGGGAAGGATTAAGAGATAGAAGAAAGGCCTCAATAAAGACATAGAAGTTGAGAAGGATAATGAACAAGCACATTCTAACTATTTGAACTTTCACTTTCATTGATTATTTCACCTCTGGCCCAACATAAAGGAACCTGGAGTTTCTGCTTTCATGAGATTCCTCTTACTCATCTGAGAGTAAAACGATTTTTGAATACCCCCGCCCCAAAATCCAGATCCACGATAAAAAAAAGAGTTTGATCCAGACTCAGGTCTGTCTGCAACTCATTTTAAACATCTGATATATACTGGGTATCTATATTTAAATCTCAGAGACTATAAATGCACTGAGATTAGTGTTATTAGCAAGCTTTCTTGTGTTATTCAAAACTCATCTTTTTAGCTCCACCAAGGAGGTTATGTTTAGAGTTTGTTTTTGTTTCTGTTAGTCAGCAGCATTACACAAAAACAACTTGAAAGATTATTACAAAGCTTGCAGCAATAATGGGATATGTGCCAAGGAACAACAAATTAAATTTTAGTGTGGATCCGGATCAGAGATCAGATCCAGGAATTTATGCTTGCTGAATAAATTCCAACATATTCAAGAGGTTAGTATCAATCAGTGTGTGTAATTTCATGCTGATCCAAATAAAAATCTGGATCTAGTGGATTTAAATGTGGTTTCATTTGGGTGTAGGTTTGTTTCAGCTGCTGTATGGTAACAAATAGAGCCAGAAACTTGTAACTCCCACAAAGCTGCAGCTGAGAAACATAATGCAGCCTTAGCTGTAAGGTCTGTTTTAATCTAAGGAGACTGTTGGGCCTTGTTGGAGGAATAGCCTTAATAGAGTGCATTTGTAGTTATTTGATGGCATATTGCAGATGTTTCTGATGCCAGAGGACGGGCACAAGCATTTAACATCCACATTTCACCTTTGTGCAAAATGCCAACAACTGAATGTGATCTGTGTAATAAAAAGGGCTTTGATTTGTGTTTGGATTATGTCCAGTCTAAATAATATCATCACATGTTATAGCTGCACCTGTTTCATCAGTTTTATCCACAACTTAATTAACCATCTAAATGTTAAAGGACGGTTAGTTCAGGTCAGATAAGAAATTCTAGTTCTGTTCTGGTTTTGATAAAATCTTGTAAACCTCACTATGTTAGAAAATACCTTATGTGTTGTTAAAAGTTTAGTTGTAAACTCAGCAAAGGATTTCATTTGAAGTCTGGCAGTTTCACTGTGAAGTTACCAAAAAAAAAAACACACCAACAAAGGTGCGTACAACTAAAAGGTTAAACAATCAACAAACCGTATTAGTCATGTGAAGTGTTTCAGAAAGTCTCAAAGGTTATATGTTAGTTATAGAAAGTGAGATATACCATTATGAAGGTAATCAGGCATTAGACATGTTTAAACCAAAGCCCTCGCTCGCCCCAGCCTCAGTGGTTTCTTCATTATTTGGTTGGGGGTGTTCGATTGTCTACAGTGGTGGTAGATCTGTGGGGCTTCCGTTGTGTTTTTGCAGGGGCAGATCTCAGGTGGTGGTTGGTTTCTCAGCCGCAGCGCCATCTTCTATTACAGCACCACCAGATTTCAGCTCCACCTCCGGGGTTTTAGGGGGAGCCGCTTTTGGACTCAAGCCTCCATTAACATCAGTGTGATCTGGGCTCGGTTTGGAATCCAGGCCTGGCTCAGGTGCACCGTTGGTGATGGGTTCTGGTGTGGTTGGTTTAGGGGGCTCGGCTGTGGGAGTTAGGGCGCTCTTACTTTCAGGTTTTGGGGCTTTAGGAGCAGCTGGTTTGGGCTCTGGGCTCGGACTGGGTGCAGGCTTTGGATCAGCTGGGCTCAGACCAGCCTTGGGCTCAGAGCTCAAAACTGGGCTAAGCTTAACTTCTTGTTTGGGAACATCCGGCTTCACCTCCTCAGGGGTTTTCTTAATCTCAGGTGTTGGGCTGGCTTTAGCTTCAGCTACAGGACTGGGCATTAGTTCCACAGCGGGTGGAGCACTTGGTTTGGCCTCGGCAGCAGGTGGTGGACTTGATTTGGTTTCTGTAACAGAGATGCTTACAGCCTCAGAGTCAGGGATTTGATCAGGGACATCGGTGTCAGTGTCCAGTGGGAGGGCGGTGTTAAAGCCAACACCCGAGTCACTGGTCTCCAGGTTACCAATTCCAATCTCTTTAGAGGAAACCTCCAGACCCTGAGTTCGGGGAAACAAAGAAAAGGTCATTTGTACAACTTCATACAATGAGGTAATCCAGAGTGCTTCACATCAGACATAAAAAATGAAGACAGGTTATAGGAGACATAAAGGGCAATATAAAATGAACATTTGAGGGTTGGGGGGAAATATTGGGAGGGACACTGCCATAGGGAGGGAGGAAGAGGAAGGGGGGCTAGGATATATGAGTATGCCAGAAAAACATTTTCATTATCTGTATAAGTCACTATTGCACTGGGTGCAATAAAGTTTTGTTTAAAAAAGAAACATATAATTGGGATTTTAAACAGAGTAAAATAAACTGGAAGATAAATAACAAGCTAAAACTGCAGAGCTAGAATAAAGTGCAAGGTATCACTGAACAGACCCAAATTATTTTTAAAAAGGCAGCGGCAAACAGAAAAGTTTTCAGCCTCCATTTAATAAAACTGAGAGTAGGAGTAGACCTCAGGTTTTCTGGGAGTTTGCTCATAACACGTGATGCATAAAAACAGAATGCAGATTGTCCGTGTTTAGTTTTGACAGCTAGTGGATCTGTCCCAGAAGACCTGAGATGTCTGGAAGGTTCATAACACAGCAGCAGATCAGGGATGAGTTTTGGTCCATTTCTTCCTTTAAAAAACCAATAGTAACATTATAAAATCATTTGATTTTGTCACACAGGAAGCCACTGCAAAGTTCTGAGACCTTGACTGATGTGATCCTCTCTCTGGACTCTAGCAGCAGCATTCTGAATAAGCTGCAGCTGTCTGAATGCAGAAAAATTGAGATGATTAAATTATTAAACTCTCTTAAAGATGCAGTTTCATGACAAATACACTTCACATCCTTACTTTAATGTCCACCTCCGTGCTCTGAGATTTCTCTGTGGTGTCGGCCTGGGAATGCTTGGATTCCTCACTGAGTTTGGTGATGTTCTTCACCACCTGTGACAGTGGAGAAAGAAACAGTCAACATCATCACCATCATCATCATCATATTCATCATCATCACATTGTCGTCAGGATGTTTGTCCCTCCGACCTGTCTGAAGGCCTCCCCTTCGTCCTCTTTGCCAGCATTCTGGGCAATCTTCTCCAGGGTAGCAGCCCTCTTAGCCCTCTTCTTCACTTTGATCAGGCAGGACAGCAGGCAGGCCAGCAGAAGGAAAACCAGCAGACCCAACAGGGCGATGATGGCCACATACAGCGACTCCAGCTTGTAGGCTGCATGGAGGCATTGCGGGAAGGAGACAGAAGGAACAGGAGTGGGAGTAAATTAATCAATGGACCTCTCTGTGACGTGTTGAAATTCCAATACAAGAATATGATCTACAAAGAAATGGATCATTCTTTCTTTTTTAGCCACAAAGCAATTTATTTTTGTTCCTCTCTATTATGCTGTTTTGACGCCACCCTTTAGCAGCTGTCCCAGCAACATAAAACTGCTGTCCCCCTTTCTTACGTAGCAATTCCAGGTGGACGGAGGACAAAGTGAATCCCAGTATGTCAACAATGTTGAACTGGCCAGCATCTGACCCCTTGACCTTATCTAGAAAAACCAGTGAATGGTCCAAGCTGAGACGGTCCTGCAGACCCAGCTCCTCTGGAGTCTAGAACACAGACATGCACATCCTTGAGTTTTAAAAATCAAGACAGCACAACATATGTGTAACAATCAATGAATGATGTAAAAGGTAACCTGTGAAATAATTGCCTGTGCCTCTCCTTCCAAACATGAAAAAGAACCTGTGGCAGCCTTTAATTGTCATAAAAACTCAAAAGGTGTTTAGTTTGTCCAGTCTGGACTAATGTAAAAAACATGGCGGAGGGTCCCCTCGATGTAAATATAAAGTATTTGAATATAAAGGGCCTTTTCTTGGTTAAAGAAAACTACAATTCATACAATTTAGATGAAATGAACTAGTGAAAACATCATGAGGATTATTCTACATTAAATTCCTGCCAAGAGATCCCTTTCACTTAAATCTTACACACTGGATTGTGGTTTCATTTGTTATGTTATTTCTTTGATTTTAAATGTTGTATTATATTATTTGCCATCTTTGATTTTGCATGATAATATTTTGCTTTGTTTTTTTCTCTCTGTGTGCTATATGAATAAAGCTATTATTGACACTAAAACATATTGTCATTATATGTTTTATAACATAAAGAGTATGTAATTGTTTTATACATATATTTTCTTTCAGTCCAAAGAGGACTGACAATGTTAATGTTATGCAACATACAGTAATATCCCCTGAGAAATGAGAGAAATGAGAGGCTCCAGTTACACTTGTGAATTCTCCCTTGTCCAGCAGCAGATGGGGCGTGGAGTCATAATCGGGGCTGTAGTAGAGACGGACCAAGGAGCTGTTGAGCACCAGGTTGATCTTCAGTCTTTCACCAATCGGCAGCTTCACAAATTCTTGGTGCTCTGAGACACAGACGGACGACAGGGGAGGACAGAGGACAGACAGAGTAAATACATCACAGCTCTGTTTACAGGCCCTTGGAGCATCTACAATGCATTAGCCTGCTCGAGCCCATTAACATGCAGGTATTTAAGAAGCCATTACTGCAGACAAGAAGAGCCTAATAACCACAGACACAACAACAACATCCTGATGGGAGTTGCAGGCCGTTTGAGACAGGTCAAGCACAAGAGACGAAAAAGGCTAATATCTGTCTTCATTTGTCCTCTCACCTTTGACGTTGAGACACACTTTCTTCTGGATGACACCTTCGAAGTCCCTAACAGTGTAGCTTCCCTCGTCTGCCCCCGTGACAGCACTGAGGACAACATGGCGCTCGTTGACGCTGATACGACCCTGGTAGCCCTCCCTGGACATGCCCGTACTGGTCAGCAGCACCAGAGCTGGTCTGCAGGAGGAGAAGTCAAATCATCGTGATTCAGAGACAATCTGGTTCACTGCATGTGCATCATGGTGGGAAAATGTCATTACAGATTCTCTTGGGTTAAAATATCAGAGTAATCTGGAGGACTCTGTACCTTGATGTCTGATTGGCCTCCACGGCGATTGGCCTGTACTCCAGGGTGATGGGAGGGGTCACCTCCAACAGCGGAATAAAGAAGCTGTCTCCATATTTAATCATCTCCTCATTGGAGCAATCTGAGAAGCAAAGGATGGGAGGTGGTAAAAACTTCAGTACAAGGTTAATTAAAGCAGACAGGATATTCCAATGTACTGTAAGTGATACAGAGTGAAGTGTGAGAGAGAGAGAGAGAGAGAGAGAGAGAGAGAGAGAGGAGAGTGTGTCCGCTTCGTGCGAAAGAAGAAAACACAGAGGAGGGACAAAGGCTGGACAGATGTGTTGTAGGGGGACGGACTGCAGGGAAACGAAGGAGCACTGATCCAAAAATATCAGGCTGGCTGGAATGAAAGGGTGCAGACACAAAGCGAGCAGAGGGAAAGACAGTAAAGACCAGATAAAGACGGGAAAACAGCAGGGGAGGGAAAGAAAGGGGAGCGGGTTGGCAGTTAAAGAGCTGCATAATTACTGGCTGGCAGCTCTGGCATGCCTTCACACACACACACACGCACACATGTTTATCTCAGCACAACACGTTCCTCCGTCCATATGGCACAGCTTCCACATACTGCTACACTACGGTGGTTTGTATCCGTGCTGGGATTGAATTTACTCAAGCTGGGTGTCATTCCCTCTTTCTTTCACCTTTGTGTGTTTAATCTCATCAGAAATAACTTGTAGCACTGACGAGACAAACAGGACGTGTAACTGTGAGGTTTGTTTGGCTGCAGACTGGAGAATTCAAGCAGAAGAAATGACACTGCACTGACTCCAGATCAGGTCTAAGAATAAATCTATGATGTAGCACAGGAAGTTTTCAAAACCAAAACTACACTGTAAAAATACTCCAGTGCTAAAAGTCTAGCATAGTATTTATTTTTTAGAACAAAAATATTATCGAAAAAGTCTCAAATGTAAACGGTTCAGGTACAGAAAATCATCTTATGGTATAAAATACATGATCAGTTTATTACATGTTAATCAATGAGTACATCACAGAAAATTAATCAGCAACAAACTATGACATCAAGTTAATGTTCACAGGTTCCAGTTTGTTATAGCTCTTCTCATTATTAGTTTTTCCTTTGGATTAACAACCACTGGTATTTTTATGTTAAACAATGAATCAATGAATCAACAAAAAGGACTTTATTCAATTCTGAAAAATAAACTTTAATCGCAGCCTCATTTGCACATCACTGTCTTGACTGACAGATTCTGTCTCAGGATGAACTCAAATTATACTTTCACAAACTATTTTATATCCTGTATTGCATTGAGAGTTTATAGTTACAGTTTATAGTAATAGTTTGTGATGTAGATGTAAATTATCCATTTAAAATCACTGATTACTAATTTAACATTATCCTGGAACAATGAATTAGAATTAGAGTTAGACCTCATGTGAGAGGGTGACGTCATTTGAGACACTTCATAGCTGTTGTTAATATGTCATCCAATACCTCGGACTATAAGCGTGATGCGCCTGATCTCCTCTGGCTTCTCTGGGTTCTTCACCGTGTACACGCCCTCGTCTTCCTCACCCACAGCGTCTACGATGAGGTGGCTGAGGTGCCGGTTGAGTTTAGTCCGACTGTTGATGACAGCACCGTCCCGCATCAGGACCACATCAGGCGACCGCGGAGAAGACCTGTTCCGAAATGTGACCTCCAACCCAAGGGAGGGCAGCATGATGTGGAAATCCTCCCCATGGAACAACGTCATCGAGTCCTCGTCGACTGGATTAGATGGTGGAGACGCGGAAGAGGGAGCATTGACAAACACATTATGTAAAAGAGCGGCTCATAATTCATCATTGACGAGTGACAAACTCAACATGAAAGTCTTACCTTTCACAGGAGCAGACAGAACTGTGAAGAAAGAGAAAATAGAAATTAAAGGTGATATGTTTGGACTCTATGACACTGGCATTGGTGGAATAAGACACAGTTGACATATTTCCATATCACTACTACAGAGCAATTTAATGACGTACCTGTGGTGAGCAGGAGGCTGAGTGTGACCACACTGACTGTCCCCATCCTGGCTGATGTGATTGTGTCTACAAAGAAAGATGTGTGAGTCAAAACCATAGGCAGGATGTATTTGTTTTCCTTCACATGTGTAACTGGATTTATTAGTTTGAGGAAATCTCTGAGGGATCATGCAATTTTGTTTACCGCCACTAAGGAGTTGGTCGGTTAAAAAACAGGATTGCACAATAACAACTGAACAGATTAGCAAGAAATCTGTTTCACTTTATTTAACATTGTGAAACAATTTCAACATTGTTTTCCCAGGAAGTAATTCATGGATCTTGCACATTCAGGCCCATGTAGGGAACGGACATCTATGATTATATGAAGATTGGTGCAGCTTGATTTAATTTAAAGGGGCTGTTGGGCCTTGGGGAAGGTACGTGCCCTAATGAGGGCCAGCCTTGTTAATCAAGTGACTACTGCTATTAGAATGTTGGCTGAAAAGCAATAACAATCTTGTCTTGTCATGTCCCAAATACTGGATGCAGATCACGTCCCCAAACTGAATATATTGTTATAGTGTCAAGACTGATCTGTGAACCAGATCTCATGAGGGAGATGTTCTGCTGTCATATATACACACACACACACACACACAGGTAAAATGAATATTTAACATGCTGTAGAAAGACTTGTCAGTTGCCATTAGACAATAAATGGAGACAGAATGAGTCCTCCATTCAGTGATGTCACTGTTAATAATCTCACATGTAAAGTCTCCCTGCTATGCTATAATAAACATTCAGGATCTACTTGAATCTCTTTATCATAATTTGTCTTTCGCTATTTGGAGGAACATCTGCAAACAGGATCCATGGCTGAAGAAAACTGTTGAACTTAAAATAGGTGAAACTGTAACTGAATGGGAAAAGGAACAGAGGGGGAGGGGGCTAACATGATTTCCACAAGAGCCTGTGAAGGTTTCTGATGAAGCATCCTGACTGAGGAGATATTGATGATCTTTTTGTGCTGAGACATCAGAGGCATTGCATCACGGGGCTGGAGCCAAAAGAAACGTTCCTGTGGTTTTTCATTTTAAAAGCCCAGGAGGGGACCAGGAGGAGACACCCGCAGCGCTCACTGTCGGACAGAGCAGCATCTACGCAGCATGCAGCCAAGGTTATCTAATATATATGCCAGAACAGCTATATGCTGTCAGGTTTATAAGAATTGTGTGATTATGTTTGCATTGTATTTCTTTCCATCTTTCCTTGTTGTTATTCTTTAAGGTTTACTATCCAAGGAGCCAATCTAAAACTCCTGGAGGGGACTATTTGCAGAGAATCTTTCAGCTGGACTTCAGACATAAAAGCTGCCTGTGGTGCAAATCTCTTTCAGAAAACCAATGCTATTATAACTTAATGACATACCTGGGCTCAATTTCAAATCAGGGCCATGAGATGATTTATGGGTCAAAGTTAATGTCGTGAAGAGGAGCTTCCCTTTTATAGTGTTTGTACATGTTTAGCAGGATTATAGATCACTCTCAAGGATCGTCTATTGATTATGTGCCTGAATTTAAACACAGAATAATTCATGACCCTGAAGATAATTCAAATTGTGGTGGTGGGAGTGACGACCTGGCTGAGATTCCAACAGGAAAAGTCCAGTCGGAGAATAGGGGGGCTGCAAGGAAAACATCTTTTCCTCAGGAGCATACATGAAAATGATGGTTTCTGAGAGGGATCATGATTAATGTTATAACACTGAGGGGGATTATGATGATTTAAAAACTGCCTCCTGCTTCTGAGGCGTCTGAGGCAACGCATCCGGAGTTTGTGCAAAAGACGTTTGCTGCAGTTTTCGTTACAAAGCCGAGGAGGGGACTGGGAGGGAACACCTGCAGTGCTCACAGCCACACTTTGCAGCAGCTAATAAACACGCTGTGAAGATTAAAGTGTCTTATTGCAACACGGCAGACACAACGTCACACATCCCATTCCCGATGGAAATTATGCAGCATTAAAAAATCTCACCTCCATCTGTATGTGTGCCAGGTGTCTGCCTTTGTATATGTGGAGGTACTCTTTGTTTCTTAATGTTTAATAAGAAAAAGTAAAAATTCACAGTGTCATAATCTGACAACCAAAGCTGCTGTTTCCCAGAAGGCCTCACACAACATTATTTCCACATACCACACTCTGGGCAGGACGCCTAAAAGCCCACAGATTTTATTGTATCTGAAACAAAATATGTAACCAAACTGCGTCACAAGGAACAGAGTCACTCTGCAAACAAAACCTTAATGTCCAGTCATCTGTATCTCTCAAATGACAACGTAATCGTATTATTGTTGTCCCCATCTTTGTTTCAGGAATTCTTCTCAGGGTTTTAAACACTTTTTGAAGTCACTGCATCATAAAAAATATATCCAAGACAATGACTCTTGACCTATGTGACAGACAGCGTTTAATGAATAAAGTGATCTTAGGTGTAGGATTGGTTGGCTCTGGGAGGAGAAAAGTGAACCGGGGCCATCTGTCTGTCCCAGCAGTCGACCCTCACCCAGGCACTGCGGCCGATCTGTTATTTCTGTGCAGGATCTGAGCAGAAAGGAAAATCCAAACTCCTCTCCTTTTGTTTATGTGTGATTTTGAGCAATTGAGACCAAAACTAACATGAGGGGTCGACCCCACCGACCGCAAACATGCAACATCATGAAAACACACGCAATAAGCTATATTATGAGCTTATTCATTCATACACTGTCCTCTGGGCACAGACGATCTGGCCATCTGCTGTCCTTCCCTGACTTCATCCTCTCCTCTCACTTAGCATTACTTAGTCTTTATTCTACCTCAATGGATTCTGCTCTGAGTCTCGTCCTCTTTTGCTTTTTCTCACTTCCATTGCAATTTTCACATCTTCAAGTGTTACTTTCCACCACCATCACAACCGTTCTTCAAGTCTCCCTGTCCTCTCCTGCTGCCTTCGACAGCTCTGCATCATTTTCGTCTTCTCCTCTCAACCCCCCTGCTCCGTATCTCGGGGCATCTCTCGCTTCTTCCCTTTTTTTCCTCAGCCCTCCTCTCAAGATCTCTCTCTCTTTTTATCATGTCTCTTTCACCCTCTCCTCCTCCTTATCTTATATAATCCAAGCCTGTGCATCCCACTCTGAAATCAAAGCCTGTGCCTGTGTTCCTTCAAACTCCAAACTGCATGCTATACACTGGAGGGACAGACAGGTCTTTGTCCACTGGGCTTTAAAGAGGCGGAAATGCCATCAATGACTGCAGATGTGGGGACCTGACAAAGCTACCTCTGTGTCGTCGTCTTCTCACACACACACACACACACACACACACACACA